ACACACACACACACACACACACACACACACACACACACACACACACATGGTGGTTTGGGATTTCAATAGAAGCTGGTGGCAGCAACCTGAGAGGAAACCAAAGTTTTTATCCTTGGTTTTCTGGCCTCTTCTACTTCAACTGATCACATTACTGTGTGTATATGTGTGGTAATGGTAAATGATAGCTGATAAAAACAATCATTGTCTCCTAGGGACCTTTCTGTACACTCCATTGCTTTGTAGTGAGTACAGTCTTCTTGTACTGTTCTGTTTGTCACTGTTTCCCAGAAGTGCATAATATTGTCTACAAATTTCAACTGATTCCTTCTTGTCTGTGGGCAATCCTGTCCTAAGGAGCGATCAAGGACAACAGGGAAACATGGAGAGAAGAGGCAGGAACAACTTGACAATAGAGAGGATGATGAAGGTGACAGCATGAAATATAACTGGGAAGTGATGAGCTCAGGTGACTTAGGCCAGAAGGTCCACTGTGCTTCTGAGGGTGTTTTTAACCATGGTCATATAGTGAAGGCAGAGTGGCAGCCACACAGAAACATTTAACAGACAGATCAAGGACATGAAAGATGCAGTGTTATGTCGTGGAATCCCAGGTCAGCACACTCCTGCATACTTCCCAGGTGACACCTAAAAGCCACAAGAAACCATGATAGCTCCAGGAAGTATTAAATCCAAGGGAATCCCTTAGTGACATGACAATTTGAGTGGGTTTTATAGGACAGAGGGACAAGAGGGAATGGGAATAGTCCAGGTTTCTAATACAGAAATGTTCTGTTTTCATGAAACTGAACAATACCTAAAGCCTATTCCTTCTAGGACGCTGGTTTCCTATGGCTGCTGAATAAATGACCACAAACTTGGTACCTCAATATGGATTTACTACCTTAGAGTTCTGGAAGTTTGGTGTCCAAAGTCATCCTCGTTGATCATGTACACAGTTGAGACAAAGAATGGCTCAACTTGTAAAAATGTCTGCAGCCAAACCTGACATGACTTCAGCTCCAGAACTCCCAGAACTCATGTGATGAACAGAGAAAATAAGCTCCAGAAAGTTTTCCTCTGACCTCCACATGTGTTCTGTCCATGACATGTACAAACACACACACACACACACACACACATATACATACACATGCACACATGCATGCACATATACAATATGCACAAACACATACATACATACATACATACATACATACACATATATACTCACACATACACACCCACACAAACTGTAGAGTGAAAAATTATAGATACTGGGTATATAGAATCCTTTTTAGATATAAAATATTCTTTTGGCTTTCTTTATAAAGACATGGAAAAACCAAGGCATGAAGCAAGTTAGGAATGTGGAAAGACCAGTCACCATTACTGGAACTGGCCTATCTGCAAAGAGTTAAGAAAGAATGCAAGTGAACTAGGTGGAACCAAGCTGAGAACCAAGTTGAGAACCAAGCTGGGAACCGCAGTGACAGGGCAAGGCCACAGTGACAGGGCAGGACCACATTCTTGAGAAAGATAAGCGTACAGAGAGTTTTTACCTGACCCTGACTCATGTAGGTTGGGTTCCTTTGGAATGTTCCACTATTTTTATGTTATACCACCATAGCAACCCCCTCACCCCCTCCTCATTCCTTGGTTTGTGGTTTTTCCCTTTAAAAACCCCTTTCAAACTGGCAGTCGGGGTCAATTCAGCTCCTGCGTGGGCATACGAATTGACGGGCAGCTAGTTGTCACGCCCTAATAAACAACCTCGCAATTGCTCCGGTACATGGTGTCTCGAGCAGATTACTGGGTGTTCGAGACTTCCTGAGACTTGAGAGAGGGTCTCCCCTCTGCGGAGGTCTTCAAAACATACATATGCACAAATACATACATACATGCACGCACACATAAACACACACTCTAAAAATAGATGAAAAATGAATAAAATATAAAGTCATGTGATGGCAGGCTGCACAGAAGAGCCCATTTCTGCTGCCTGAGCTTTCAAAAGTCAACTTCTAATTGTTGGTGAGTGTTCCCTTCATTTTTTAAACACTTTGCTTCTATCCTCAAACCTCCTCTCCTGTTGTTGACTCTGTTGCCTCTCTCTTATGGATGTATTCCTTGATTTCCCCTGCTCTGACAAAATATCTGGGAAATATTTATTTTGGTACCATGTTGCAGGCATTAGTGTGTCTACTGGACTGTTGTTAAGTAGAGGGACAAAGAGGATGCTCACCTAATAATCACTGGGAAGTAAGAGAAATGAACAAACAGGCAAGGGGCTCAGTATTACAAGACCATGCTCTAGCAATCCACGCCCCCTTAAGCCCATGTCCTAAACTCTTTACTACCTCCCACAGCACCATTACCCCAAGATCAAGCCTTCAGCAATGAGCTTTTGGTAGACCCTGAGGAAAAAGACAAAATAAAATAGGACCTTCTGTTATTATTCATCTCAACAAAGCAAGACAATGTACCTCAAAATCTCATAATTAATCATGTTTATAAAGTCCATTCTTCCAACAAATACAGTTTATTAACACATTCTAGAGGATATGAAGAAGGGCATTTTTGGTGGGGGGAGCATTACCCCCTCTGCCACAGTAAATTTACGATAATACTTGTTAGTTAACAGAAGATTGCAGTAAGCTTCTCCCAGGGACCTAGGCTTACGTCATTACCTGCTGCCCACCAGGTGCCCAGGTGCCGCAGGGGCAGCCTATAGAGGACTGTTCACTCCCAAGTTCCCCCCCATTCCTCTTTCCCTTTCTGTTCCCATGAGTTACTGGCCAGCCTCTCTCTTTTTCTGTCCTACTCTGTCCCCCCTTCTCTGCCACCATAGCTCTGCTACCCACTTCTCCAGGTCCCCAGTCCCCTTCCCCCCACAATAAAACTCCCTTACACCAGATCTGCCACATGGCATGATGTCTCAGGGGAACACATTGGCAGGGACCCACCAGGTACTCCCTTACTCCAGCTGCCCCTTTATATTTCATAACACACGTGACACTTAGTTATCATCAAGATTTAATCAACGTAGCTTGAGAACAATAAGTGAGCAAGCTAGTGCAGACAGTTCAGCAATTCAATACAAACTTGTTATTGGGTTCAGTATGTGTGGTCCATGGTTTAGGCTATTTTCAGAGCATGTCCAGGAAAGCAGTTTTATTCTACATACTTGACCTTAATTGATCCCACATGAATTCACTGTCATATTGAAATGACATCCATTTTATTGATCACCATGGGATTAAAACAAGATGATAAATCTATTATTTAATGAAGTGAATAAGGCAAAGTGCAGCAACAGACAAAATTAGTAAAAGTGGTGACCCCATTTCCCACGGCTCTCTAACATCCTGAAATGTCCTATTCCTAAAATCTGTATTTCCAGTCTGAGGTGAAGGAGGGCAGCTCTTCGCTGGAGAGGAACCCTGGCTCTTTGGTGATGGAGCTGGGGATCTGGGCAGTCTTACTTTGTGTGCAAGGGCACACCTTCCATAGGGGCTCAGACTGCACGCCTCACAGTTGAGTGTGTCGTGGGGCCCATCCAAAGATGTCTCATCCAAAGACACATTCAAGATCGGTGCTAGCTTCCTGTGTCCATAATATCGCTGCAGAATATAATTAACGAGGTTATTCAGAATCCTTTTGATGTTCTCTGTGGAGAACTCAGGATTCTCAAATTGAGACCCAAAACACTTCTGGCACCTCTGACCAAAGATCCTCATGAGTACCCGGCCCTGGGATTTCAAAGCATCCTGGTACATGTGACACAAGATCTTTACTTGAGCAGAGGTCCAATGTCTGTAGCATCTGGAACACTGGAACCTGTAGGCAGAAGAAAGAAATCCTCTGTGTCCTTAGCTGACCACTGACCTGAGAGGAAATGGTCAGCCAAGGGATTCTAGGAATCGCCTTCAATGTGGAGAACTTTACATAATTTTGAGTGACATGGTCACAGATAAATATGAACAAGAGGCAAACTCTTTTAGATACTTTCCTGTTATTACTAGGTCTGCCTCTTTGATAGGGAAAGCATCTCTGGAAGTCTTAAAGGAAGAAAAATTGTTAGCCAGCTGGTAACAGCACTCCACAAGTCTTTAATCCCATCACTTGGAGACCAGAGGCAGGCAGGTCTCTTGAGTTCAAGGCTAGCAAGTAAGTTCCAGTGTGCCCTTCTCCCAGCCGTGAACAGGCCTGAGACCTAGTTTACCACCATAGACCAGATAATAGGACCTAGGTGGAACTAACCACCTTGCCTGCATATCAATAGACACCTAGGTGGAGTAACCCACCTTAGCTGCACCTAGATCCTGCTACAGGAACTTGAAAGAAGAACTGCCCCTGGGCTTGCCTTGAGACATCTCCGGCCTTGACCCACAACCAAGAACAGATTTTCCCACCCAACTCTCCTGGCTGAAACTAGAAAGGGTTCGGGCGGGCTCTTTCCCTTTAAATTGAAAGCTGAATATTAAACCATCGAGCCTTGATCAGAAAACTTTGTCTTGGTTTCATCTCTTCTCATCCTCCATCCATTTTCGTTCCCAGCCCTCTTTTCAGGTGAACCCGTTCGACTCGTGGCCGCAGGCTACACAGAGAAACCCTGTCTTGAAAAAGAAAGAGGAAGAGGAGGAGGAGAAGGAGGAGGAGGAGGAAGAGAAGGAGAGAATTCTACTATATTCAATGCTTCTTCACTATGATAACATGAAACTTCTATAAAGTGCCTATTTTGAGACAGGCCTTTCAATATTGACTCTCTTTATATTATTCCTCAAAGGTATTACTGAGTCCCTTGTCAGCCAAGAAAAGTGAACAATACAATATATACACAGCTTGCTTGAAATACAAAGGACAAGTGGGAAAGGGTTGTGTTCTCAGCCTAGGCCACTGAAACTAACCTTGTTCATCTACCTACTACAGAACATCACCTCTAATGAGCAACATGACTAACAGATCAGAACATGTGGAGACCTGTGGCTGAGGCTTCATAAGAGATAAAACACAGTTTGAGGTAGGGCAAGGGTGGGCAGGTACCCTTGAAGAGGGAAAAAAGAGCAGAGGGTTTTAGGAGCCCTAGAAAAGTCCCTAGGGTTCTGGAAAAAGAGGGTTTGACTTCCTAGGCCAGCCATCTTTAAACTGCTGACAAGGAGAGGATACCTGATGGTGGCCAATAATGAAGGGCTGTTCCTCAGACACTCCAGGACCCGGGTTTTAGTCTGCTCCCTTTGTTTACAAGCTTTCTGTAAAGTGATATGCAAAGTGACTGTTTGATCTTAGTCAGTTCTTAGGCTCCAGGCTCTAGGGGTAAGCAGGGGCCAAGCCCAGAGAGTTGCTGCGGCCTGGAGGGGCTGGTCAGGAATAGCCAGGAGGACTCCTTTTTTTTTTTTTTCCAATTACAGCTCCCTACAGTAAATGCAATGCTGGAAGAGGAAAAGGCCTACTTTAGAAGCTCCAGGCCCTGAGTAAGAAGTTCCTATCTCCTGAGAATGTCAAATCAAAAAGATCCCAAAACTAAAGCTAAGCCTTAGAATAGCAGTAAAAGTACACTAAGGACAAATTCCTTTTGGTCAAGAGAATAAAATGTGCCTTTGGGCTGGAGCAGACACAGAGTCGGTCTGCTCCTGTCCTGTGGAGAAACTGAATCCTGAGTCATCCAGGAGCCACTGCACTCAGAGCAGCTGGTAAGAAATCCATCTCACTCCCTAAGCCCCAGAGATACATCTGGGAGCCAGGGACATTCAGGGCACAGCAGCTACCCAAACCCCGCCCCTCCGGAATTCCACTTCCCTTCCACCCCTGCCTGGTCCTTTGGGCTGGAGCAGACACAGAGTTGGTCTGCTCCTGTCCTGTGGAGAAATTGAATCCTGAGTCATCGAGGAGCCACTGCACTCAGAGCAGCTGAAACTGAATCCTGAGTCATCGGGGACCCACTGCACTCAGAGCAGCTGGAGCCACTGCACTCAGAGCAGCTGACACAGAGTTGGTCTGCTCCTGTCCTGTGGAGAAACTGAATCCTGAGTCATCCAGGAGCCACTGCACTCAGAGCAGCTGAAACTGAATCCTGAGTCATCCAGGACCCACTGCACTCAGAGCAGCCGAGGAGCCACTGCACTCAGAGCAGAAGGATTTCCAGATCCAAGAGGTGGCCTGAGTCCCAGGAGTTCTTCCACCCAGGAGATTAGGAGCATAAGACCACAGAGACATCTGGACTCTGAGGAGCTCTGCAATAAGCAAGATAACTGGAAATACAGACTCCAGTCTTACACAGTGAGGGCAGGTACCACTAGAGTTAACCAGATGGTGAAAGGCAAGCACAAGAACATAAGCAACAGAAACCAAAGTTTCTTGGCATCATCAGTGCCCAGTTCTCCCAATATAGCAAGCCCTGAACATCCCATCACACCTGAAAAGCAGGATTCAGAATTAAAATCACTTCTCATGATGATGATAGAGGATTATAAGAAGGAATTAAGTAACTCCCTTAAAGAAATACAGGAGAGTACAAGTAAACAGATAGAAGCCCTTAAAGAGGAATCACAGAAATCCCTTAAAGAAATGCAAGAAAACACAAAGAAGGAATTAAACAAAAGCATTCAGGATCTGAAACTGGAAATAGAAACAATAAAGAAAGTTCAAAGGGAGACAACCATGGAGATAGAAAACCTAAGAAAGAGATCAGGAGTCACAGACGCAAGCATCACTAACTGAATACAAGAGATAGAAGAGAGAATCTCAAATGCAGAAGATACGGTGGAAAATATTGACACAGTTGTCAAAGAAAATGAAAAACGCAAAAAACTCCTAACTCAAAACATCCAGGAAATCCAGGACACAATGAGAAGACCAAACCTAAGGATAATAGGTATAGATGAGAATGAAGATTCCCAACTTAAAGGGCCAGTAAATATCTTCAACAAAATTATTGAGGAAAACTTCCCTAACCTAAAGAACAAGATGTCCATAAACATACAAGAAGCCTACAGAACACCAAATAGACTAGACCAGAAAAGAAATACTTCCTGTCACATAATAATCAAAACATCAGATGCACAAAACAAAGAAAAAATACTACAAGCAGTAAGGGAAAAAGGTCAAGTAACATATAAAGGCAGACCTATAAGAATAACACCAGACTTCTCACCAGAGACTATAAAAGCCAGAAGAGCCTGGACTGACATCATACAGACCCTAAAAGAACACAATTGCCAGCCCAGATTACTATACCCAGCAAAACTCTCAATCACTATAGATGGTGAAACCAAGATATTCCATGACAAAACGAAATTTGCACAAAATCTTCCCACAAACCCAGCACTTCAAAGGATAATTGATGGAAAACGCCAACAAAAGGAGGGAAACTACAACCTAGAAAAAGCAAGGAAGTAATCTTCCAACAACCTCAAAAGAAGATAACTATACGAACATAACTTTACCTCTAATAACAAAAATAACAGGAAGCCACAGTCATTTTTCCTTAATATCTCTTAACATCAATGGTCTCAATTCCCCAATAAAAAGACTCAGACTATCAGACTGGATACACAAACAAGACCCAGAATTTTGCTGCATACAAGAAACGTACCTCAGTGACAAAGACAGACACTATCTCAGAATAAAAGGGTGGAAAACAATTTTCCAAGACAATGGTCCCAAGAAACAAGCTGGAGTAGCCATTCTAATATCAAATAAAATCGACTTCCATCCAAAATTAATCAAAAAAGATAAGGAAGGACACTTCATACTCATCAAAGGAAAAAGCTACCAAGGTGAACTCTCAATTCTGAACATCTATGCTCCAAATGCAAGGGCACCTACATACATAAAAGAAACTTTACTAAAGCTCAAAACACACATTACACCTCACACAATAATAGTGGGGGATTTCAACACCCCACTCTCAGCAATGGACAGATCATGGAAACAGAAACTAAACCGAGACACTTTGACATTAACAGAAGTTATGAACCAAATGGACTTAACAAACATCTATAGAACATTTCATCCTAAAACAAAAGAATATACCTTTTTCTCAGCACCTCATGGTACCTTCTCCAAAATAGACCTTATAATTGGTCACAAAACAAGCCTCTACAGATACAAAAAGACTGAAATAATCCCTTGCATCTTATCAGATCACCACGGACTAAGACTGGTCTTTAATAATGAGAAAACCAATGGAAAACCCACGTGCACATGGAAACTGAACAACTCTCTACTCAATGATGACTTGGTCAAGGAAGAAATAAAGAAAGAAATAAAAGACTTTTTAGAATTCAATGAAAATGAGGACACATCATACCAAAACTTGTGGGACTCCATGAAGGCAGTGATAAGAGGAAAACTCATAGCTCTAAGCGCCTACAAAAAGAAACTGGAAAGAGCACACACTAACTACTTGACTGCACAACTAAAAACTCTAGAACAAAAAGAAGCAAATACAGCCAGGAGGAGTAGAAGGCAGGAAATAATCAAACTCAGGGCTGAAATCAACCAAATAGAAACAGAAAGAACAATACAAAATATCAATAAAACCAGGAGCTGGTTCTTTGAGAAAATCAACAAGATAGATAAACTGTTAGCCAGATTAACCAGAGGGCACAGAGACAGTATCCAAATTAATAAAATCAGAACTGAAAAGGGAGACATAACAACAGAAACGGAAGAAATTTAAAAAATCATCAGATCCTACTACAAAGGCCTATACTCAACAAAACTGGAAAACCTGGATGAAATGAACAATTTCCTAGACAGACACCAGATACCGAAGTTAAACCAGGAGCAGATAAACCATCTAAATAGTCCCATAACCCCTCAGGAAATAGCAGCAG